CCAAATGAACGATAAAAAAACCCAACCAAAGTGCAAAGTCCACCCAGAGCTTCCAGGATTAATTCGAACAGAATGAAGGACTTTGCTTCCTGCAAAGGTTTCATCATCTTGGCCTGACTTTTATCCTTTATGGGAGAGGCAATCACCTCCCAGCCTTACTCCTGAGTCGCCCCTTTGGTCTTAACTGTTCTTGCCTTCTGGCAGCTCTGCGCACAAGCGCACTGGGAACAGGCTCCCCTTGTTCCTCTTCCTCGCTGCTGCCAGACTCCGGAGGCAGCACCCCACTCCCAGATGGTCCTGGCCCCATCTCTGCATCGGATGCAGGACCCTCGTTCAGAATCCTTTCCAGACTCCCGGACTGGTCCCCGTTTTTCCTCACTGTCCAATTCCGCGGCCGTCTGCACACTGCTGTTGAATCACAACAGCAACCAGGAACTAAGGAGGAATTTTCTGACAGTGAGAAATGACGAATCAGTGGAACAGCTCACGCACCCCGAATTAAGCTCACTCTATTCCTGGCAGCACTCCTTCGTTTTTCCTCTTTGCTCTCCCTCCCTTCTTTCTCTTCGGTAAAAAAACTGCAGCTGAGCATCCCTGCCAGAGACTACAACTGTCGGTGTGTTTCAATACTGGCTCTGCGACTAGCCGCAGCAGACAATTTATAACGGGGGAGGGATACCCAGTCCTGCATCCATTAGTTCTCGTAATTGAGTTCCAGCACAAAACACTTTTTATTTCTTTCTTTCCCCGGCTTCTCCTTTTTGTAAGAAAAGAATGGTTTTGAACTTTAGCGACTCCGCAGGGAACGGACGTGTGAAGACACTGGCTGTTAAAACAAAAAAACAAAAAACCCTCCACCCTCCCAGTTTTTAAGGAGGTAAACCTCTTCTGAAGCCACTAATTCATCAGGGTCTCCCTTGTCCATTTAATACCAGAGACATGTAAAAACACTTTTTTCTGTCTAGTTTGTTAGACATTAGTTAACACAGAGTTAACACTTTAAGACTTGTGGACTTCAACTCCCAGCATAGCTGGCTGGAGAATTCTGGGAGTTGAAGTCCAGAAGTCTTAAAGTGGCCAAGTTTGGAGAACCCTAAGTTAATGCAATGACAACTCTGGCCCTTCTTGGCTTTTTGTTAGCCTCTTTAGACTGTTCTGACCCAGGCTTCGTCAAACGTAATTAATATCAAACTTGTTTTAAAAGCAAAACCTGTTTTATTGCAGTGCCGGGAATTGCTTTCATTCCCAGACAGAACTAATCTTAGACAGTTCCCCAAGATAAGCACACACCTTTCAGTGCTGTGGAATGCTGCCAAAAACAAATGTGATGATAATAAAAAACAACAACAACTGGAGACATTGAACAAGATCTTCATTATTAAGCTTTTGCAAAAGGGAATTCTGCTCATGGCAGAAGACAGGGTTCCCAGGAGGGCTGGGGTTTATATACAGGCTCAAATATACAGTCTCTGCCCCTTTCCTGGGTTCACAATCTATCCAAGCTACGTAGCTCCCTACGCAACACCCTTATTATTGCAGCGTAACACCTGTTTCCTTGTCCTTGTAAACTACCCTCGTTCTCATGGCTTCTTCCTGTTATGGTCGTGTTATGACCATCTGTAATGCAATAGATCATTAACCAGTTCCGTTCCGATCAGGATAACCTAGTATCTCCTACACATATCCTTATGCCAAAAGGTACAGGCCCATGTTCTACCCCAAAGCCTGACATTTACTTTAGAACCTAACAAGTTACGAAACAGTACATGCTTATTAGATATAGTTATATAACTGTCCAATAATCATTGCATAGTTCAAATATCGGGTAAGTATGGCTTCCCTTCTGTTCTTCATTTCCACAGGTGTAACTCATAATATGTAATTTCTACATATAACATAGAAGTATCCAATTAATGATAACAGAAACCAGCCGAAGTCCAAGGAAAAAAACCAACCAAAGTACACAGAGCTTCAAGGAGGACTCTGAATCTAACGACTTTGCTTCCTGCAAAGATTTCATCATCTTGGCCTGACTTTTAACCCTTAGGGGAGGTGCAATCCCCTCACAGCCTTACTTCCGAGTCGCCCCTTCTGTCTTAGCTGCTCTCACCTTCTAGCAGCTCTGTGCACACACGCACTGGGAACAGGCTCCCCTGGGTCCTCTTCCTCACTGCTGCCAGACTCCGGAGGCTCAGAAGGCAGCACCTCACTCCCGGATGGTCCTGGCCCCATCTCTGCATTGGACGCAGGACCCTTATCCGAGTCCTCTCCAGACTCCTGGACTGGTCCCCGTTCTTCCCCACTGTCCGATTCCGCTGTCATCTTCACTGGCTGCTGGCGAACCACAACATAGACAATTTGTGTTGGTTGCGGAAGCAGGGCGCCATCGAGACACGCCTGAAGAAATAAGCCGCCCTTGCTTTATTTTAAAGCAATGTAGAAGGGATGTGTGGCTCGAAGCGACGAGAGGTAGAAAATGGCCACCCCTCGAGCATGGCTTGCGTCTATCCGTCTGTCTGTCCCTCTAAAGGAGCATATTTGCAGCTCAGGGTTGAAATGACGTTTCATGACCCAACTAGGTTACGTCATGAGTGCTGGAAAGGAAGGGGGAGGAGGAGGAGGACTGTGGGATCCTTGGTGCTCTCTGAATTTGGTTGCTTTCTCGCAGACGTTTCATGAACCAGCTAGTTAACTTCATCAGTGGTGGAAGGGAGTGGGTTTGTAGAGGAGGAAGGAGGGAAGGGAAGGAGAGGAGAGGAAAGGGAAGGAAGGGAAGGGAAGGGAGAAGAAAGGAAAGGAAAGGAAAAAAAGGGAAGGAAAGGAAGGGAAAGGAAGGAAAGGAAAGGAAAGGAAAAGAAGGAAAGGAAAGGAAGGGAAGGGAGAGGAAAGGAAAGGAAAGGAAAGGAAAAGAAGGGAAGGAAAGGAAGGGAAGGAAAAGGAAGGAAAGGAAAAGAAGGAAAGGAAAGGAAGGAAAAGAAGGAAAGGAAAGGAGGAAAGGAAGGAAAGGAAGGGAAAGGAAAGGAGGAAAGGAAAGGAAAGGAAAGGAGTATGCAGAGAAGGGAAGAAGGCAGCTTTGGGCTCCTTGGTGCTCTCTGAGCTGGGTTGTTTCCTTGCAGACATTTCATGACCCAACTAGGGAACACAGTCAGTGCTAGAAGGGAGAGGGGTTTGCAGAGAGGAGGAGGAGGAGGAGGAAGTGGACAGCAGTGGGGTCCTTGGTGCTCCTCCTCATGTCTGTCCCTCCCCGTTAGTCGCCTTGCCTTCCTAAAGATTTGGAGAACAAGATTGTTTTGTTCCTTCTAGTCAAAGACGTGCAGGTCCTTTTAATAGATACTGAAGCATAGCACCCTATTATTATTTTTTTTCCCCCATTTAATTACATGCCCCATTAAAGTGAGCTGCTGATCTATCAAAATGAAATATTGCTGGGAAAACGGTGGCGTTTCTCTTCATCCCGCTTTTGCTACGGGGTCTTGTGCAAGTTCCGTTTGGCGCAGATTACAAAATGTTTTGGAACTTGCACAAAGGATACGATGGTTGGGTTGGCTATTCCAATCTCGGAAGACCAGGCCGAGCTGTGTACGGATAAAGGCGCGCCCCAGAGAACGAATTTAAACAAAAATTAAGGTATGGATGAAGTCCTTGGGGCTCTCTGAGCTGGGTGGTTGGTTTTCTTGCAGACATTTCAGTACCAAACTAGATAACCTCATCAGTTCTAGAAGGGAGTGGAGGTTTGCAAGGAGGAGGAGGAGGAGGAGGAGGAAGAAGAAAACGGGGTCCTTAGTGCTCTCTGAGCATGGTGGTTTTCTTGCCGACATTTCACGACCCAGCTAGGGAACGCAATCAGTGCTAGAAGGAAGGAGGGGTTTATTCTCCCTTTATAGAGAAGTGGCTTGCCCAGTTGATGTGGATGAGGCTGTTCTTGGGGGGGGGGTGTCCCCTCTTTAGGCTGTTATTTCTTGTTTGATTGTTTGTCTGAGTGGGTAGTTCCTTGGTTGGGGCGTTGTTTCCTTTTTGATTGAAACTCTAGGGCTAATCGTTTGCCAGCTCTTGAACAGGCTAGCATCCATCTTGGGTTTGTGTCTCCGTTGAGTAGTTGGCATAGGGGAACCTGAGGCCCTGAGCTTGTGTCCCAGTCAGCAGCTGATGGGAGAACGGCATTGCGGGTAAAACATCTCATATTTTGCACGGTGGAAGGAGCTATGGATGAAGTTCTCTTTCTTCCTCTCCTCTCCCTTTCCTTTCCTTTCCTTTCCTTTCCTTTCCTTTCCTTTCCTTTCCTTCTGTCTTCCTGTCTTTCTTTCTCTCACTCTCTTACTCTATCTGTCCGCCTCTCTTTTTTCTCTTCTCTCTCTCTCTCTCTCTCTGTTTCTTTCTGTCTTTTCTCTCTGTCTCTTTCTCTCTTTGTGTCTTTCCTTTCCCTTCCCTTCCCTTCCCTTCCCTTCCTTTCCTTTCCTTTCCTTTCCTTTCCTTTCCTTTCCTTTCCTTTCTCTCTTCCTTTTATTTTTTCTTCCTCTTTTAATCTTTCCTTTCAGCCATCTTTTCCTTTCTCCTTCCTTTCCCTCCCTTCCTTCCTCCCCACCCCTCCTCCCCCATTCCCTTCCCTTTCCCCTCCCCTTTCCTCCCCTCCTTGCCCCTTTCCATCCCTTTATCCTCCCCTTCCCTTTCCTTCCCTCTCTTTCCCTCCCCTTTCCTTTCCTGCCTCCTCCTTTTATCTTTTCTTCCTCCTTTTTATCCTCCCTCCCTCCCTCCTTCCTTCCTTCCTCCCTCCCTCCCTCCCTCCCTCCCTCCCTCCCTTCCTTCCTTCTTCTCTACCGTACCCCTTTCTTTCCCTTCCATCCCTTTCCTGCCTCCTCCTTTTATCTTTTCTTCCTCCTCCTCCTTTTTACCTCTCCTCTCTGCCCCGTCTTCCTCCCCTCCCCGGTCTGTGGTCCATGCGGCTTCTCCCCCTCCCCCGCTTGGTCCTCTTTGACCTGTTCTTCTCTCTCTTCCCCTTGCAGATGGTCCCCAAGCCCATCGCCCTGGAGCCCTGTTTTGGCAACAAAGCGGCCGTCCTTTCCGTCTTCGTGAGGTTGCCAAGAGGCCTGGGTGGTATCCCTCCACCTGGGCAGTCAGGTAAGTCCGGTCCGGGTTCCGTGGGGGCCCCGTCAGCTTCCCTTCCTCCAGATCCCTTGGGACCTCACGGGTGATCCTGCACCGAAGGATCTCTTTATAGATGGCCCCCTGGGTGCTTCTCCAGCGCTGGGGAGCCGCCTGGCTGGACAGACATGGACGCTCCGATGGGCGCCTTTGGGTTGAGAAGCAGAAATCATGACTGCGATGCTGGCCGTGTTCTCTTTGATATGAAAGCTCTTTTGGGGCATTTGGGTAGTCCTCGACTTGCAACCGCTTATTTAGTGGCCGTTCGAAGTTACAACAGCACTGGAAAAAGTGACTCAGGACCGTCTTTTTTTTCCCCCACACTTAATGACCATGCCAGCAAGGGCAGCATCCCCATGGCCAAAGGATCACAATTCAGCTGCTTGGCAAACTGACTCACCCTTACAACGCTTGTCCCCAAGGCCGTGCGGTCAGCTTTTGCCACTTTCTGACAGGCAAAGCCAGCGGGGAGGCCAGATGCCCTTAGGCAACTGTGATGCTAACTTCACCACAGGTAGGGATGAAAGGTTTTCAAACGGACCCAAAACTCACTGACCAACTGTGATGACGAAATGGGCCTATTATTCATCCTGAAAAGCCTCACAGAGGCTTTTTCCAAGTCTCTGCGAGGCTTTTCAGGATGAATTATAGGCCAAAGTTTCATCATGATAGTTGGTTTCCAAGCATCTGGGAGGCCAAAAAAAGGCCTCAAACCAGTCGAAAAAAAATCACTTGTGAGCCATGCGCATGCACAGTGAGGTAAGTTTGCCTGCGGCTCGCGTGCCAGCGCAAGTGGCTCTGTGTGCCACTTGCGGCACACGTGCCATAGGTTCGCCATCACGGTTTTAGCCCTTCCAGCCCCCTCATCTTCCTGGTTGCTCTTCTTTGTACTTTTTCTAGAGTCTCAACATCTTTTTTATAGCGTGGTGACCAAAATTGGATGCAGGACAGTGTTATGATGATGCACCCAGAGGGGTGGGGTAAATCGAGGTCAAGGATGACAGTGAATTATGTGTCATAGAGCCGGCTAGCTGTCAGGATTCCGTCAGTGCCCCCAATTAAATCGCGAGTCTCAAGCCAAACTTCCATCCGGCAGTTAGGATTCCTGGTTTTCACCCAAATCGTGCCGGGCAATGTTAACTCCCAATAAATCCTTCTGGAGTTTTCGAAGTTTGGCTCGAGACTCATGATTGAATTGAGGGTAACTGCCGGAATCCTGACAGCTCCCTTAAGTTTGACATCCCTGGTGTAACTGGTCTGCAACTCTCTCTGTGTGTGTGTCTGTCTGTGTCTCTTTTTTTCGTCCAGGTCTCGCGGTCGCCAGTGCGTTGGTGGACATTTCACAACAACTGCCTATCACCTACAAAGACAAGTCAGGTGGGGTACGAAATAGGAAACAGCAACCTCCAGCCCAGCCCGGAACCTGTATTTGATGCATGGACATCAGAACTGCCTCTTTAGGATTTTAAACCCAAGGTTAGCCCTCGGAGAAGGACCTCCATTTTGTTTCGTTTTTGTTTCCAAAGGCCCCTGGAGGCCTCAAAGCACTTGAGAACATCCAGACGTTCTTCTCGGCGTCGGCGCCACCGCTGCCTCGGTTGGTCCCGTCCCGCGCCCACTCCGTCTTAAACCGGCCCGATCCTCTTCAACGCCGGGCGGCTCCAGTGTTTTCCGGTTGCTCCCCTTCGTCGGTTTTCGACCTTCCGTGGCGCGTCCTTCAGCAGACTTCTCCACCCACGAAGGTTGGCATCAACCAGGAAGACGCCCACAAAAGACCGGTTTATGGAACTTGACTTTTTGTCCCCTTCGAGGTTGTCTAAGGAAGAGCGTCGCCAATACCGGTCAGTTGGTTGCTAGACGGCAAGAATTCAGAAGAAGCTGTCTTCCCCGGGTTCTTGATAAACCCAAGATCTCTATTTATTTCTTCTAAGAACAAGCCTTGGATTGCTGCCTCAGCGCAGTAGCATTATTTTTCTCCAAGTTCACGGTATTAAAATTTGGGGCCGAGCAGCACTTTACGGTTGAACTCTACCCCTTGTTTCCCTTTCAAAAAAGATCACCCCACTTCCAGAGGGTATTTTTGTCCCCCCTCGACGTGGGCTTGTGTAGCAACGGACATCTTCTCCCGCGTCCAGCGGGGTTTTACATAGATCTAGGAAAGCATGGGATTAACGCCGTTCAGGTTTCGCACATGCTCCGTATTCTCCTTCCACCCCTGTTCTTTTTTTTTCATTTGGCTAACTGGATTCTGGGAGAGAGAAACTGCCACGACGGACAGACGGAGGGGCGAGAGACGGACGGTAACGCCAGAGCCGGTGGGTGGGTGGACGGCACGGCTTGTGTGTTCTGCCCACGGCAGCTGACACGGTGATTTTCTTCCTCTTTGGCATTTTCCATATCTTCTTTCTCTTTGGTTGCTGGGCTCAAGGGAAGGGCCAATTCTTACCTTGCACAGGTGTAGGTAGAAATAGCTCTGGGAGGGGTCCGAAGGCCCCTGAGTCCCCCACCATCAACACACACACAATGCCCCCAGAACAACTCGGCTACCCACGGTGGGATCCTACCTGTTCCACTACCGGTTTGGTGATCACACATGTGCGTGCAGCTTTCCCCCCACCAGCTGAGGCTCTGCAGCGCCAATCAGCTGAGAGGAGAAAGAAGAGAAAAGCACAGGGGCCGGTGAGAGGGCCGATCCTGCGCTTTTCTCTTCTTTCTTCCCTCTGATCGTCGGAGGCTTTTTTCCCTCCTCTCAGCTGATCGTCGGAGGCTTTTTCCCTCCTCTCAGCTGATCGTCGGAGGCTTTTTCCCTCCTCTCAGCTGATCATCAGGCTTTTCCCCTCAGCTGATCGTCGGAGGCTTTTTCCCTCCTCTCAGCTGATCGTCGGAGGCTTTTTCCCTCCTCTCAGCTGATCGTCGGAGGCTTTTTCCCTCCTCTCAGCTGATCATCAGGCTTTTCCCCTCAGCTGATCGTCGGAGGCTTTCCCCCTCCCCTCAGCTGATCGTCAGAGGATTTTTCCCTCCTCTCAGCTGATCATCAGGCTTTTCCCCTCCTCTCACCTGATCGTCAGAGGCTTTTTCCCTCTCCTCAGCTGATCGTCAGAGGATTTTTCCCTCCTCTCAGCTGATCATCAGAGGGTTTTCCCCTCCCCTCAGCTGATCGTCAGAGGATTTTTCCCTCCCCTCAGCTGATCGTCAGAGGATTGTTCCCTCCTCTCAGCTGATTGTCAGGCTTTTCTTTTTAACTGGGCCAAACCAGTAGCATACCACCACTGTTGCTTACGTAGTGCAGATCCAGGGTAAAGACTCAGAGGAGGGACCCGCAGTTGGGGTTCTTGACTGGTATCTCAAGAAAAAAAATGGCAGGCAGTATTTCCCCAGGGCCAAAAGGGGTCCCGATCCCCCTTTAGATAACGCCTTTGAATGTAGGTCCTTACTAGAAAACTAGCTAAAAACCATCTCCCTTTCTTTGCCGTTCGTCAGCCCTGAGATGGTGGCCTCCTCGCCTCCTAGAGACAAGAGATTGGTACCAATCATTGGTCAGCCGCTTACAAGGAAGAGTGTCCCAAAACCAGGAATGGCTGGTTTGTTTTGGATGCTAGGTGAGCAATAGTTGAAGCATCAAGTCACCGAAAGGGCTGGCACTGTTATTTTTTTTTTTAATCTTGCTGTCGCCTTCCCTGAAGGTCTTCCCCCAAGGCAGTGCTGTGTTTGGAAGACAGCAGCCAAGTCTCCAGAACTGCCCCATCTCGTCCCAACCCACCGGTGCGTTGCGTGCGCCCCCCCCATTCCAGAGCATTCGGTGCTACACAGACCGAAGAGGTGCGTGCAAATCCGACAGGCAGCGATGAGCAAATATCGGCATTCCCATTGCTACATATTTGTGCCAATCTCTTCCTCTCTCCCTCTCTCTCTCTCCTTCTCTCGCCAAGCATGCACGCAAACAAAGTTCTAACCAGTTCTCGCGCTGCCGTGGCCCGTGTCGAAGAGTGAGGCGGTCTCAAAACACGGGGAGGTGGGGGGGAATTGCTCGGCCGCGGCAAATCTTACGAGCTCAAGGTGAACACCCTCCTTTCTACCCATCCCATAAAAATAAAAATAGGAAATTTGAGCAAGGGGAGGAAGAACGCTAAAGGATTCTTGGGCTGTTTTCACCGGAACCGTTCCCATCTCCTCAATCCGCGATGGACCGAATGCATCTGTAATTTGGGTCAAGGCGCCAGAAGTCTGGCAGTTTTGCATATTGCTGAATCTGTACGCACGGACTCTCGCAGAACTGGAACAAATGTATAATTAAAAAGCATCTCTTGGTCAGCCACCCTCCCTTATTTTTCCCCTCTTTCCTAAAGCTGTGAATCCAATGCATTGTCCCCGGAAAGCCGACGTCTCCAGAGTGGGGAATCAACCTTGAATGGCTGAACGCTTGATACGAACCCAGGGTAGTCCAATTCTTCTCGGTCTCCCAGTAGGAAGTAGTTTGCCACCTCCCGGTCCACCGGTTGTGCCCGGAGCTCAAATCCCAAGCTTTCTAGGCGATACGATCCAAATGCCTCTTGTACCGGGCCGTGATATTTTCATGTGCATATATAAAAACAGGGTGCAGAAGACCATGTTTGTCCAATCATTAGACTTGATCCAGAACTGAAAAACTCATCCAGAACTCATCCCTCCGGAGAAACGCGGGCCTTGTGTGCCGTTCGATCCAGGGCAGAACCGTCTCGGTGCTAAAACTGACATCCAACCCAGGGAGCGTTTAAACTCAAACTCACCCCTCGCGTCCCCAAAGCTTAAATTGCTAGCTTCGTTGGAAAGAGCCGCCGGATTTGTCCTGTTGAAT